CCGTAGAGGAGTGATCGGGCGAATTTACGGTACACGCGGATCATGTGGTGGTGGGGATTTCTCGTCGGATCCGTAAGCCTTTTCTGAGGCTTAAAAAACCAAACGAGTAGCATCAATTTAGAAGGCAATATCGTCATTTCTCCGTCTATTCTACAACAGTCTCATTTCAAGGTATTTAAAGCTGTTTTGTTCTTTAAGATGATGGCCATTAAGCTTGAGAGGCACCTTCATTCGGTCAGCGATGCAGTTTGCAAACGCTATGGTCTTCCCAGCCTTTATGAGTAAACCGGCGGATTTCGCGTCTTCATTCACCCATAACACCACAGACGGGAGAGAATAAGTTCGAGGCCAGCAGGGCGATGCCATCAGGCAACCTGTGACCAGGTGCACACTCAGCATACTTAGAACCGTGTTGGACCCTTCTACTAAACAGAATGGCGACAGGTGACAACTTTGTGTAACATCAAATCGGGTATTGAACGGTTAGGACAGATATCTATGGAGCTAAATTCACGCAATGGTGGAGAGATAGTAGTTCTTGTGCCCGCTTAACTCCGTCGACAGAGTACGGGGGCTTTTAAGCTCGGGTTGTGGTTTCTAGCTCCACACTGGGTGCCCCATGTTGATCGGTGTACAATTTTAGGACAATGAGCACAGTTTCAGCTCAGATGAATGCACGGTTAGTAACACACGGGGCGCCTGGCTATATCGAATTTAGCAAGCACAAGCTATGCAGACTAACCTAAAGATTTCGGGAGATGTCAATAGCGCGCGATGAATGGAACTGAAGTCGAATGGGGGAGAGGGCACATTGGACTGTCAGAGAATGAAGTCGAATAGACAAAACCTGGTCGACAGATTATTCTTACAATCTTTTCGGGATGGTGAGTACCTCACTTGGGACTGTGCTGCACGTCCACGGACTGACATACCCTCCCCAGCTGGACGAATTTCGTTTGATTTTCTGTCTAGTTTATGACATATATTACATAATTCAAGCCACGTGCTTTAAGATGATGTGAGGGCGTGTCACAAAGTTCGGAAAATACATAGACTAACTGCAAACATATTCGAGGGAATAATTATTACAGCAGATTACATATCTGATGAAAGGTTGGGGATTGGAAGATTTAGCGCACCCTTGAGGTTGTTTATTTAGTTCATTGGGTTGACTTGAGGTACGAAATGTTGTTTACTAGAATTTAATTCCGTTCAGATCAGAATACTGGGAGAAAACAGAGGCGAAAATGGGCGAAATCCAGCGTTTGTTGAGATCCGACGAATTTCCTACGCTACTAAACGCTGCCTTGGGCTTCCTTACATGTTATTGTCCCTTATGTAGGTAAACCGTATATGAGAACCTCTTAAAATAAT